ATTTATTTGATATACTGAGATACCATAGCATCGATTGCTGTTTTGTTAGCTTTCTTAGGTCTTAATATCCACACTCTGCCTCTACCTTTTAAGCACCTTTATTTCCGGGGAAAAATATTCTCATAAAAGCTGAACAGTAACTTTATTAAGTCATTTTTGGACTTTTTTTCCTCCTCCCCTCTTTTGATGCTTACACAACCTAGCCTGCTGATCTTAGTAAGGTGGGTCTGGCTGTTCTTTTCTCTTGCTTTCTTGCTATTCCCTATTTCTAATATAAATCTGGAAAAATACTAAAGAAGAAAAAATCCTACAATATGTGTAATTATCAATTGTGCAGATTCTTCGCTGTGTATAATTTTCCTGCCTTACCATCTCTAAGCCTCAGCTGTCTGTCATAGAATCCTAGAAAAAAGAGGCTGGAAGGGACCTGTGAGAAGGTCGTATAGTTAAACCCCCTGCTTGAGGCAGAATCATCCCTGTCTGAACCATTCAGATCAAGTGTTGGTCTAACCTCAGCCAACATCCATGAGTTTTCTCATATTTCCCAGGACTTTGCAGTTACCTCAGTAACAGTCAATTCCTAGAGTGTCCTAGGATGAGTCTCATCTGGCTCTGTAAACTTAAAAATACTTTAACACTTAGCCGCCCCCCCCACCCCAAAAAAACCCAAACAAACAACCCAACAACAACAAAAAAACCCTTCCACTACTCTAAATAATCTGTAACCTTTTCTTTCCGTACGTATCTTCTCCGCTGTTTGCTGCCAGCTGATCTTGTCATCTGATAGTTGATGTTATTCATGAAGACTGAAGTTAAAAAAAGCCATTAAATATCTCAGCCTTCTTTGTATCTTCCATTATTAGATTGGTCTCCCCATTCAGGAAGGGAATTATGCTTTCCTTTGTCTTCCTCTTATTTCTAATATATTTGTAGAATGCTTTTTTCTAATCGCCTTTTACTTGCCTTGCTAGCTGTATCTCAATTCATGCCTTAGCCTTCTTGATTTTTTTTTTTTTTTCTCTGTATGTCAATGTGGTATACTCTTTCACTCCACATTACTAATGTGGCTGAGTTTCCACTTCTTGTAAGAATCCTTTTTTGAGTATTAGCTAATTGAAAAGTTTAGCCAGGCCAGTCTCATGCTATACTTCCCATCCTTTCTGTGCTTTGGGATGATCTGATCTTGTTCCTTTAGTATGGTCTCTTTTTAGGTATAACAGCTCTCCTGGACTCCTTTTCCCCATGGACTTAAAATCTAAGTCCTTTGAGCAAGGATTGATTGCCTTTCTGTGCATGCTTAGCAGTGTTGCCAGTCCAAAAAATTATGTTTCTTTTTCCATAGTTTCATAGCAGTTAAGGGCTGGAAGGGACCTTACAGATCACCAGGTCCAGCTCCCCTGCACTTGGGCAAGAAAGACTGCTGGGATCAGATAACCCCAGCAAGATGGATGTCAAGACTTTTTTTGAAGATTGCCAGGGTGGGTGACTGCACCCCCTTTGGGGGGAGCCTGTTCCAAACCCTCAGCACTTGACTTGGAAAGAAGTTTTTCCTTATGTTTAGTCTGACATGATCTTCAATCAGTTTGTGCCCATTATCTCTTGCCCTCCCCTGGGGGGCCTTGGCAAATAGACGTTCCCCCAAGTTCTGATGTACGCTCCTGATATAAGCTTCCACCAAGTCTCCTTCTGAGTCTGCTCTTCTCCAGGCTGAACAGTCCTGAGTCTCTCAGCCTCTCCTCATGTGACCTGGTCTTTAGGCCTGTAATCATGAGTGTGACCCTTGTTTCTACTCTCTCAAGCCTCACATGCTTCCTGAAGTGTGGCGCCCAGAACTGGATGTAGTACTCTAGCTATGGTCTCACCAAGGCCGAGTAGAGCAGGAGGATGACGGGCAGTATATTTGCTGACGGTTGGCAACCCTCGTGCTCCGTGTCTAAGACGAAGAGAACCAATCCCAATTTTAATCCATTGTTGTTTCCATTATATAGTATTATGATTATTATTAAATACTTGTTTCATGGCCAGTAAATGTTGTTAAAGTAAATAAGATGATTAATTTATCAATAAAAAGTACATTTCTTGCCTCTAACTTTTCCTCCTAATAAAAATATTAGCTGCTGCAGCAGAAATCTCTAGGGTGGAACATTTAAACAAAAGGAACAATGTCAGATATGTCTGCATTTTGTTTTCCCTTAATACACTATCAAGATAACATAACATTGCTTGAATTAAGGTGGTCCTTGCAGCTTACATTAGGCATGTACATATCATTTAAAAATATTAGTTTAACCTCCTCTAATTATATCAGTTAAACAATTAACTGATAACATAGCAGCTCAGAAACAGCTGCTGCTGGGAGCTGCTCCTAGATCCCTTTGACTGGGGGAAGGGGGTGAAAAGGCAAGCCCAGCCAGACGGAGCCCAGGTAAAAACCTGCAGCAGGAGGGAGGGAGCACCTATGAGCCAGCAGCTAATTGCTTAATTGATGAGTCATTAGGCTGCTCCCTGTTTTCCTTTTGAGCTACGGGTAGTAATTCCCCCTCCACACCTCCCTCTCTTTCCCCCTGCCTGCCCCGCTTCCTCCTAATGCCTGCTGGGGCACTGCATGCCACCCTGGCCTGGTCGTTACTACTAGGATTCTTTTTGCCAGAGCCCTCCAAGGATTGACACAGCAAATTGTCTGAGATGGTATCAAGTGAAGTTTAATAAATAGTAACCCCTAGACAATATTACAGGTTTTCTCCCCATAATACAACCTGGCAAGTGACTCTTTAAACGTTACAGCAGCAACCTTTGCGGGTACCAGGCCTCTGATCCTCTGCTGGGTGTGTGGGATGTTAGTTTCTGGGTTCCTTGTTGTTCAAACGAGAATTCCGAGGTTGCTCCTGTCTCAACAGGGTGGCACCACAACACACATGGTCTCTTTGTTTGTCCACTACTTCTGTAAATCTTTCATCCTGAATTGTCCAATCCCCTGGCTCCGTGCCAAACATTCCTTATATGGTGCACCAATCCCCTTGCACTGTGCCAGGCACATTCTTTCTAGGGAGACTGTTGTGCCTTGCTTACAGGGGCTGTGCAAAACAGCACTGTTTCGTTTCAACTTCTGTTTCACCCTTTTGAAGGGACATTGTTTCGTTTCGCTGTTTCAAAGCACCGTTCCATTTTGTTTTGTCAAAACTGTTTTGCCCATACGCTATAATAGGGAACTATGAAAATGCCTATAACTTTGTCATTTCTTACCTGACTTGGATGAACATTGCAGGGATGGTGGCCCCTTCTGAGGTCATGAAGCCTGCTAAGTTTCAAGGAGATAGGTGCAGGGGTTTCTGGGAAACTGTACCTCAAACTGTTCAAAGCAAAACTCCTATCACTTGCTGGCAGCAGCAGCCTACTGTCATCCTGCACGCAGATCCGGGAGCCTGCGCCCTCAGGAAGAATCTGGCACAGCCCTGCATCCCCCCTGGGGAGCGCAAGCCCCCCGATCTGCACACAGGATGATAGCAGGCTGCTGCCGCCAGCTGGGGCCAGCGGCAGCATCAGTCTTCCCAGTGCTCGGCATAGGCTGCCCCCAGCACTGGTCCCAGCTGGTAGCGGCAGCCTGCTGTCACCCTGTATGCAGATCTGAGGGCCCACGCCCCCTGGGAAGAGTCCAGCACAGCCCCGCAGCCCCCCCAGGGGTCATGGGCCCCCAGATCTACATGCAGGGTTTTAACAGGCTGCTGCTGCCAGCTGGGGAAATAGTCCAGAGCTGCCTCCATCACCAGCTGGCAGCAGTAGCCTGCTGTCATCATGCATCATCTGGGGGACCATGCTTCCCAGGAAGAGCTGGGGGAAGTGATGAGAGAGCTGAGAGAGAGATCAGGGAGCTGGGGAATCCAACTGGGAACTGGGGAAATGTTCAGGGACCTGAACATTTTTCCAGCCCCTGGTTCAATTCCCCAGCTCTCTGATCATTTCCCCAGCTCTTCCTGGGGGTCATGGGCCTCCTTGTGCACAGATTGGGGGCCCACACCCTGCAGAAAGAGCTGGAGAAATGATCAGAGAGCTGAGGAATTGAACTGGGGGGCAGGGTTTCTACATGCAGATCAGGGGCAGGCGTCCCCCAGGAAAAGCTGGAGGAAGTGATCAGAGAGCTGGGGAATTGAACAGGGAGCTAGATGTCAATATCAGAGTAGTTCTTCCCCACTCTTCTGTCCTCCCTCTCCTTAGTTTCTGTTTAGCTGCAAGCAAGCCCGGCTTCGAAACTTGAAACGTTTCAAAACTTTCTAAACATTTCAAGTGCCCTTGTTTTGTTTTGAATCCTTTTGTTTCATTTTGATTTTGCTGTTTCGAGCTCAAAATGTGTCAAAATAGCTTTGAAGCGAAACACCCAGCGAAATTTTGTACAGCCCTGTTGCTCACTTCGTGCCCAATCACAGCACTCGCATCTATCTCCCAGTGCCACAGGAGGTGCTGTGTTCAATTTTGTTTAGTTCTGGGAAGGTCTGGACTATGGCTAAAAAGCCTTAGCATAACTCAGTTTGTCAGCTGAACTGCTAAGCTAACTGGTTTTCACTGCACTTATTGGTTAAACAATTAATTTACTTAACCATTCACATCCCTAGTTTATACTTTTCTAACTACAGTAAAAGTTCTGTTAACCGGCATGCCGGCTTGTAAGATAAAGTGAAACCGGAAGTGCCACAGCAGGCACTTCCCGTTTCTCTGAGCCCCCACGGCCCAGGGCAAAGCAGCCTGTGCTGCCGAGCCCCCGTAGCCTGGGGGCATAACAGGCTGTGCGGGGCCCACAATAGGGTCAGTGATGTGGCGGGAGGGGTGGTAGGACGCCCCAGACGTGGCGGGAGAGTGGCGGCCCAGGCTGCTCAGTTAACCGGCATATTTTGTTATCCGGCATCCCCCATTTCTGGGGGATGCCGGATAACAGAGCTTTTACTGTACTTTAAATCCTTAACCCTAATAGTAAACTTGCTTGCTTATTCTGTTGTTACCTTTGCTAGGAGATCCATGCACTATCTCATCTCAGATGGAACTGGAAGAAGCCTTTCGTCTGTATTGTCAGCGTAGAGATGAAGGGCTCATTATTCACGGTAAGCACTATGCAATTTGAGAGTTGTCCCTTAACTTCTTGTGAAGAATATAGCAGTGCAGTAGATGTGAAGTGTGGCACAATGTTTGCTTATCTCATCCAGTATCCAGTTGCTGGCTGTGGTCTTTACTAGCTTTCAAGAGGCCACTTTCTCACCTACTAGTCTCCCTTCTTTTTACTGAATTAAATTTGTGGGGAGATGGGAGGGACTTCTTCCAGACCACTCTAGTAATCATCTTGGCTTCTAAACCATGTTGATGGGCATCCTTTGTATGCTTGTAATCTAATGTTGCCACAGAAGTTTATCCTTGCTCTTGTATATAGTTTGAAAGTCTGCAAAACCATAATGAACTTATGGAGCAGAAAGATTTAAAGAGCTGTGAGGTAATAGCTGCTCAGTTATAAAAGTCAGAGTCTGTTCTTTCTTATTCAGTTAATGTGATAAAAATGAAAACAGTTAATTGAGTAGCTAAAAAAAAATGGGATTGAACAACTGTAACAGAAATAAAAAAAAAAAAATTATTTTTTCCAAACTGAATTTTTGAGAAATTAATGGCATTTTAGTCAAGTATAATAGAAACGAGTCTGGGAAAAAGTAATTTAGGAATATGAAGAGGTTTAAGCTGTTGCTTTTGTCTCTAAGACTGAAAAAAGTTGTAATCTTTGGAGCATGATCAGCTGTGTCATGGCACAGCTGATCTCCTTTATTGACGTCTACAGATGACATTAGGTGTGTTGGCCCACAAAGTCAGTTCCATGCCATTCCTGCGACCTCGGGGATCTGATCCTGCAGGAAAAAGCCCTACGTGCTTCCCCTAACTTGGGATGCATGTCTGCAAGTGGGGGAAACCTTCTGCTTGTAGAGGCACTGGGCCATCATGGTGTGGGGGGAAACCCCTCTTCAGGGAATTTTTCTTGCATGTGAGCGGTAGTACCAAGGAGTAACTCTCACAGCGTTCCATGCTCTGCACTTAAAGATGCACCCCCTGTGTTGGGATGCAGCAGTATAATATGGGCGTGGGGGTCATCTCTCTACAGGGATTCCCCCTGTGTGTGTCTGCAAGTGCAGAAGGGGCAACTCCTAGAGGAGAGTTCCCTCTTCCATGTTTGCAGAATGTGCCGTGGAGGAGAAACATGCAGTGAATGAATCCCATGCAGGAGGATTCCCCAGGTATGTCATGCAGGTGTGGAGGGTGGAGTTCCCCCTCCATGCTTGCAAACAGCACCCCAACCTGGGATGTGGCAGCATACAATGTATGGCAGGTCAGGGCACGGTCTCCAAGCATGGATGGGGTAGAACCCTTATGGGAGTCCCCTCTACTCTGTGCTTGCAGACATAACCTGGGAATCCTGTGTATTAAGATGAGGCTCCAGGAGCTCCTGCCCAGGGTGGCACTCTCCTGCCATAAACAAATGGACATTGGCTGCAAGTGTGCAGCATAAATTATGATTTGGGTCATTGTCATTTAAAAAAAATTAGGCATTTGTGGCACATCAAAGGGCTAGTATATCTGTTCACTTTAGTATTGTGCTGCTATAAACATTTTTATGGCAGCACAAAGGCAACATCTGTTTTCAGCCGAAGTGTTCTTATTGTATCCCAAATCATGCAATTGTATCTACATGGGTGTTTTCATGTACCTATGTGGAACCCCATTCAAGGAAGAGTGGCTTATTTTGGGTTCCAGAATTGGAGTGTGTAGATCCAATTGCAGGTTTTAGGTGCTTTTTACTTATGTTAGCCAACTCAATGGCACCTTCTTTTCAAAAAAAGGGGAAAAAAAAGATTTACTGGGGCAAGCTGATTTATTTCCTAATCAGCTGGTTTGCATAGCTGATCAGATGCTTCATAACTCCCATAAAATAGTTGTTTTTGAACTGAGCTCTTTTGACTGTACTGGTACCATCTTCTCTGGCAAATTTCCAGCCATATAGCTTCATTTAATCTAGCAAAAATATCTTTAGCTATTAGGTCTCTGTTTCAGCTGGGGCTTTTATTAAAAAAAATAATTTACTCCCATTTCAAAGATTAATTATAAAAGCTTTTGTCAACTTCTGTTTTTTTTTTACTTGGATCTACACCTCAAATTATATAAATGAATAATGCATTTATTCCTTGTGTCTTTTTGTCATTGTTCAAAGTAGCTCAATTGTTTCATTTCCACTGGTACATTCTTAATGCAAACCATGCTAGTTAGGCTGTACTTAATTTCTTTTTTCAAGATTCCTGAATCATTTGCACTACTTTCCTCCCTTGAGTTTTTAAAGCACCTGCCCCACAATCTTGATTTTAATGGGATCTGAAAGGAGACTTTTTGGTAAAAGAGCACAAGTCCTTAGATTCAGGAAATCTGGGTGCTCTTTCTAACTTTCAGAGTCTTATTGACTGTTTGAAATGTAAAGCAGGGATAATTCTGCTTCATTAACTCATAAGGTTGTGGTAAGATTATTAATGTTCATATATTACTTTGATATCCTTGAATGAAAACTCTATATAGCAATTGGATACAAGGCCCACTGAAATCAATTAGAGACTTTTGCCTGGCTTTAGTGAAACTTAAACCTTGAGCGTACAGTGCAATTGGTGTAATGATCAGGCCAGTGATATTGGATCAATAAGCAGCTGATTTCCAGACATTAGGTTGCTAAGACTGAATTCAAGAATAATGTAAATTACAATAGTTGTGGTACTTTAATACAGTAATAAATATCTTCAATACCAAAAATACAATATTTTGTTTTAGTTTTCCCCAGCATTCCAGAGAAACCAGGCATGCCTTGTCCAGGAGAAGACAGTAAGTACTTGAAGTTTACCAAAGGGTCTTTTAAGAGCTTTAATGTTTATTTTATTGCTTTTGTCCATTTGTATGTAATATAAAAGCCATTTGTATAAAAGACAATAACTTAAGATATATAGCTATATTTATTTTTCTATGCAGAATATAAAGTTTATGTAAAATCTAGAATGTTTTATATTACAGTTAAAAATTATGTTTTAGAAAATAAAAAAGGTAAACCAAGAGTCTGACAGCATTTCAGTGCCACTCAGAATTATCACCGGTTTTCCATAAGGTTGCACTTAAGCAAAGCAAATTAATAGTCAGATAGATTGACATCCTTGCATACAGATAAACTTTGTATCTTAAGAGCTAGGGGATTATCTAAGGGACTTATCTAAGAAGATAAGTCAAATTTTCAGACTTATTTATAAATGCAAGGGCTGTCATTTTGATAGCAGGAAT